CAGGTTTGCGGCAATTTGCGGGCAACGCCGAAAACTGTCGTAAATTGTCAGAAATTCATGTGGGCCTCCCTTGGCAGTTGTCCCCCCATGACCCCCCTCCTCCTAATTCTAGGGGAGGCTTTGACATGTAAATGAAAATGCTGTGAGCTATACAAATGCAAATCAGGGTCGCAGAGGGAGTTTTAGCCCAGGTGACATTTTTTTAAAAGGTAAGAAAATCTCTGGTACAAATAGATCAGGCTCAGTAGCCAAATTATAGACTCTTAAATTTTAGCTTGAATTGATTTATTTAATTCAAATATGATAGATTACTGTGTATGCCATTAGCAATGGCAAATGTTATGTAAAAAAGATACACAAAATAACTTCTTTAAAAAAAATGTTTTAATCAAGGTAAAATGAGCATTCCATGCAAACAACATATGAATCAGCATGAGGGGTCTGCAGAGATCAGTCTCCTAGAGCTCAACTACAGTGCATAGTGGCAGGACTACAGTGACCTTTTCTTTGGTCTTAAATGCACAGAGGATGTATTAACCACACATCTTCTAGCAATGTGCTGGCAGAAATGATGCTGGGTATGACGTATCTGTTCCCTGCAAGCCCCAAACTTCTATTGGCTTTCCATAAAAATGTCTGTCCGGGTGGAGATGAAGCCAGGAAACTTGTGCAAGAACATGTTTAAATGCCGTACCCTTTGACACATTAACAACTATAAACTGCTTTATAATGGCTGGTCGTAGTTCTGCTAGAGGGTCAAGGACGGTTCCTCAAAACTGTTAGTGTTTCCACACCACTTAGCATAAACATATGCTGACCTTTATGCTCTGCATCTATCGATTGAGTAAGTTACATTCATATATGTTACCCGTTTACATGTCATGGCAAAACATTCAACCTCAGTGACACAAGGGTACATCTGATGATACATTGTCAACATTGCATGTCTGTCAGACTCAAGATTGTCTGGTGGAATGGAGAAAGAGGCACCACTGTACAGTTTTCTAGGGAAAGTTGTTCTGCTGACACCAAAACACTGCTTTACATAAAGCATATCAGCTGTTTCTAAGTCCCAACCATTTGTCTTCCTAAAATACTTGTCCTTCCGTATAACAATAACCTCGTATGTGATTGGAGGACCCTTAGACTCCTCGTCCAATCACGTGTGAGGTCATAGGCATGACTGATACAGCAGTACTTGCAAGACGAGCATACAAACAGACACGTGTGTTACTATATTCAGAAGAACTGTATCTCCAGTTCCTTTGTTTGGTTTTTGCTGCTTCGTGAAAAATGGCTGGACGACGTCTCGCGTTCAACTCTCCTTCAACTCCTCTCCGCGGTCACCAACTTTCGGACAGTCCGCAGACAGACGAGAAGAAGCTGCTGAATGCTCTCAGTGGATCGTCTCGCCAACTCCAACAACAAACTGCCGATATCAACGAGCGGTTCGCTCCACTGGAGCGTTCGGGACTCTGCGGGTTTCTGTCCATGGAGGAGAGTAACCGACTCAAAGAAGAGGAGACGGGCGCACAATCCCACGATAGCGGTAAGAATACGTTTGATGACTGCAAGCTAAGCTAAAAGTAGCGTAGCGTCAAGCTAAGCTAAAAGTAGCGTAGCCTCAAGCTAAGCTAAGAGTAGCCTAGTAGCCTTACAAGTGAGCAGAAACTGCTTTATTAAAGTGTGTTTTCTTTGCCGTGTCGTTTACAGGAAGCGGTGCGCCGTCTTCACAACTCCGAGACTAATTACAGGCACTACGAACCGGAGCAAGGGTCAGATTTAAAGAATATGCTTTCATTCTGCGGTATAAGGGAATATATACGTATGGATACCGATCATAACTGTACATTTTGTTTTCACAGACTAATCTCGCCTCATAATGAGGCGGTGACCTCGTATTTGCTCCGGGAAAAGTCCAGATTTAGACGACGTCATTGTGTGTAAGTGACACTGTTTACTGTTTCTCCTTCCTTGTTCAATGTTACTGTGACTTGCGTTTGATTTTTTTTTTTTTTTTATTCATACCACTCATTTAATTGTTTTCCAGCCGCCTGTAAGACGTATTTTGAGACGGGACGCAGGAGCTTCAGGTTCAGGCGGAACACTCATTGCGGGCGGAAGCTGCGAAGGATTCAGCGCGGAGTCGAGCGAGAAGAAAGACGGTCAGAGTTTATTTGCTGACTTGTTTCAGGTGCATTGGTCGATGTGTTGTGGGCGTACGCATCGCATCGCACAGTACTGATTCATTGTTGTTTTTACAGCTGCTGGAATCGAGACAAAGTGTGCTGGCTGATGACGAGGTGGAACGCTGGAAATCCGCCACCGTAGAGCTCACGTCGGACGGAGGGGAAGGCGTTGTTGGCGGGGTCTCGGGGTGGATTGTACGGTCGCCACACGCACGAGCCGCCTGCACAACAGACCTGCCTCGGAAAACACGGCGCCAGTGACTGTCTACAACCCCGAGGAGGCAAACTGACAGTTTACTGAGCTGTAGTTTTTAAACCGCCGTTACCCAAGTGTGGGCAGATCCTGACTTTGTATATAGTTGTTTGTGTGTTGTTAATAAAGCTCCTTCTTTGCATAAACATGTGGCAAATGTTCATTTTCTCTATGAATTCATTGATGTCCTGGTTGGTATCCTAATAATAGTGTAGTAGCCTGCATAGGATAACCATGAAATAAATATACAGCATAATATGAATATATATAAATAAAATGAGGCGGGTGACCAATAGCGACAGATCACGAGTGATTGAAAGTTGTGGTTTCATCCAATCATGAACAAGGAAACTCAAGCCTGGTCTGCCCACGTGTGGTTTTGCTGCCAATCACGAGTGATTTCATTTGTTAGTAAGTTGTGGTTTCATCCAATAAGGAGTAAGGATATTCAAGCCCGCTCGGCTCGGCCACCCGCGGTTTCGCTGCATTCATATGCTAATTCGGGCCATTCGCACCTCCGCCAGCTCTCCACCTATGTCATGGTTCGTTTCCGACAATTTGTGGCACAGACAAACGCGACGTGCGCGGGTAGCAAATTGTCGGAAATTGTCGGAAATTAGGGAGATTTCCGGGCGTTTACGGGGACGAAAATCTCACTTTTCATTTAGTGAAACCCTTGAACGTGCGATCTTTAACCAACTCTCCTTCTATCTCCACGATAACAACCTCCTTGACCCCCACCAGTCAGGCTTCAAGGCAGGCTATTCCACAGAGACTGCTCTCCTTGCTGTCTTAGAGCAACTCCACACTACTAGAGCCGCCTCTCTGTCCTCATCCTTCTGGACCTCTCCGTGGCATTTGACACAGTCAACCACCAGATCCTTATTTCCTCCCTTCAGGAACTTGGTGTCTCAGGCTCTGCTCTCTCCCTTCTCTCGTCCTACCTCGACGGCCGCACCTACCACCTATTTTATTACTTTTGCACTGTTGTCTTGTCTGTCTACTGTCGCGCACTAACCGCCAAGACAAATTCCTTGTATGTTTGACATATTTTGGCAAATAAATGTTTCCTGATTCCTGATCCTGATACCGGGTAACCTGGCGAGGATCTGTGTCCTCTTACTACTGAAGTTCCTCAGGGTTCCGTCCTGGGTCCCCTCCTCTTCTCGCTCTACACCAACTCTGTCGGCGCTGTCATTCGCTCGCATGGCTTCTCCTACCACAGCTATGCCGATGACACTCAACTAATTCTCTCCTTCCCTCACTCGGACACCCAGGTGGCGGCACAGATCTCTGCCTGTCTGACTGATATCTCTCAGTGGATGTCCGCTCACCATCTGAAAATCAACCCCGACAAGACTGAACTACTTCTCTTTCCGGGAAAAGATTCTCCGACCCAGGACCTGACGGTCAACTTTGGCAACTCCGTGCTAACGGCCACTTTGACCGCTAGGAACCTCGGCATCACACTAGACAGCCAACTTTCGCTGACTCCCAACATCATTGCGACAACACGATCCTGTAGATACACGCTCTACAACATCAGGAGAATACGTCCCCTTCTCACTCAGAAGGCAGCGCAAGTACTGATTCAGTCTCCCTCACTTAACAAAACACTCGACTAGATCACAACTCTTGTGACAACTCTGTTGTCCTTGCTCTGAAATGGTGGAACGAGCTCTCTGAAGACACCAGCCTTCACATCTTCCCCCGCAAACTAAAGACACACCTCTTCAGACTCTACCTCCACTAAAAGACTAACAAATTGTAGCACTTAAATTGTACTTGTAACGCCACTCATCTATAGCAAATTGTAAATGGGCTTATTTGAGGAAATTGCACTTTTTTGTTTCTTGTTCTTCTGAGTTTGTACCCCTATGGTTGAATGCTCTTATTGTAAGTCGCTTTGGTTAAAAGTGTCAGCTAAATGACATGTAATGTTTGGAGTTCAGGTTGAGTGAAAGCCAGAAGCAATAGATGAGCTGCAGGGGTTTCTTGGCTGATATGCCTGGAAGCCTTTAGTAGAGTGTATTGATTATCCTAATGATGGCTTAGCATGATTTGGGAAAAGTAATCACAGTGTGACACTAAAGCAGTGAAACAGTCGGCTATGTGGGAGATGTGTGCACTGAATTAATATAACACGATTTCACCTCAGTGGAAAAAGAGTTTGACAATTTGCCGCTCAATGAAACACACTTTGATAGACTGATGAGCTGCCATGCAAAGCAATCTTGGGCTTGGTGTCATGCTCGAAGACACTTTGACATGCCGTTGTGTTAAAGGGCAAGTGGCTCTTGAGGGCTAATATCAAGATATGAATATGACCAGTGCTCACAAATAACAACATTTCAGGTAAACTTTTCTGTGCCATATTATCTAACTGATTTCAGTATTACGTGTTAATTACTCACTAAAAAATGTTGGATAAGTTAAAGGTCCCATACACATCAACATGTCAGGTGTCTTTGTTGTGAAATATCCAATTGGCTAATCCTTATTTTTCCCTTGTGGTTATTCTCTATTCTCTAGTAGCCCACAGTTTGTCAGTTACTCACCATACTGTCATAGTAGATCAGCTCCAGCTCGTAGTCTGGCAGTATGTCAGTCCTCTTATTCACTACGTCCAATGCCATCCTAGCAGCGGGGAGGCAGGCCTGTCCGCCAGGCCAGCCCCCACTCATGGGAAAGAGGGCTCCAATGTAGAGCTTCTTCTTGCCAAGAGCCGGGCAGGAGAGGAGGACAGTGAGGGTAAGGGTCAGGGAGTAGTGTTGTACGGTCCTGCAGAGCCGAGCCATAGCTGCTGGATGCTTAGTTAGTTAAGTCCCCTTCTCCCACCTGTACTATGTGCAGAGTTTAATGTAGGGGGGAAAGAATTGCCATGAGCACAAGTCGATTAGCTTCTGAGACGGGAAGTCCTTTAGAATAATGCTTTAATTTAAATTGATTTGACTGGTGACAAACCAATGCAATTCATATGAAACAATCTGAACGATCTGCTGCTCTGCAACTCAAATATCACCATGGAGATAACTATTTATTTATGCTCATGCGTGTGCAGCAGGCCAGAGCTGCTGTTGGGTAACTGAATTTGAATATCAAAGATACATCCAGGATTAAACCACGCAGATTAAAAACCCCTACCAAGGTGCTGAAAGTAAACTCACGGAAGCTCCGTGACATTCAGCGCAAGGATAATAGATCGTCAAAATGAACATCTACACATCTCAGGGGGTCCCGTTGACATGTATCCGTCCGTCCTCATCAATCAGTCTCAAGACCACGCGATCAGGGTGCGTGCACCGGAACCCCGGCTCCCAGTAATCCGTTCACGGCTAGCAGGCAAGAGTCCCTTTGGAAGCGGGGTGGACCCCACGATGGAAAACGTCAACACCGCGTTGCTGGAATGCGTTCTGCCCCTCCGGAGGAAAGCCAGGAGGACTGCGGGAGGGAGCAGTGTTCCGCTGCTCTGCACGTTAGAGGAGACTGACTGCAGCAGCAGCGGGTGAAAGAGTGGGAGGGAGGCAAGAAGGATGTGTCCGTTTCACAAACCATCTCATTTATCACTCAACACAGCCCCGCTCATTTATCTGCTCGGTTATCTTTCATGTTCACAATTGAACATCAACTACAATCTCAATTTTTCTGCTCCAATTGTGTTTCTCCCCGCGTGGAAAAGCCTCACTTGGAAGGAATTGTCTACTGAAAATCCTTCATTCATTTCGATTAAATCATACATGATCCATGACTGGATTAACACCATGGGGGAACATTGCAAAAGGCAGTTCGATCCCTGTCCTTCAGCAAGAAAGGACACACATTTAAACCCTAGATTGACCAGGTACTTAACCCCAAATAGTTTATGGTATGGTATGGTAGCTCCTGTCATGAGTCTATGAATGGATGTGACTGGGTCAATAATGACATGAAGTCTTGGAGAGCTTTGAGTGGTCAAAGCTATAAGTACAGTCCATTCACCATTTATTCCCCTCCCACCCCCCCCTCTTTCACACACACACACACACACACACACACACACACACACACACACACACACACACACACACACACACACACACACTTCTTCAAGGTCATACTACAGGAACAGCCCTAAGCCATAATTATCATGTGCTTTCTGTGCCTTTTCAAGCCTCTCCCGCTCAGGTGCAAAAACGGACCAATAACTGCTGAAAATGCGTTGGAATGCTGAAAGCTGAAATGAACTTCAGAAAATTGCTGAAAATACAGTAATGGGAGAAGCTGAAAGGAATTTAAATAGATTTGCTGAAAAAGCAGAAAATGAAAATGGCTGAAATTAATTTGAAAAATTGCAAAAAATACAAAAATGAACATTAAAACATCGCTGTTAATAGAGGCACAAGAAAAGATGAAATTATTTTAAAGAACTGCTGAAAATACAGAAATGAAAGAAGCTAAAAGGAATTTCAAAAGATTTGATGAAAAAGCTGAAATTATTTTAAAGAACTGGAAATACAGAAATGGGAGAAGCTGAATTTCAATAGATTTTCTAAAAAATACAGTAAAAATAACTAGTAATATTAGTAGTAGAGTTAGTTATACTTGTAATTGTGGTATTAGTAGTACTAGCAGTGGAAGTAGTAATAGTAGGTTTAGCTTCAATAGCAGTACAAACAGCTGTAATACTAATACTATTAGTCATAGTAGTATTTGTAATAACATTAGTAGTAATTATAGTATTAATACCAGTTGAAATACTCGTAGTAGTGTTAGTTATGGTGGAACTACTAGAAGTACTAGTAATATTCTTAGTGGTTGCAGTAGTTAAGAGCAATACGTATTTCAACGAAACCGCTTCATTCTGAGCTTCATGGTTAAGGTACAGATAATCATTGAGGCTTTTATTTTGAAATTATGGAATTGGGTGAGGGGGGGTTGGGAGACAGAATGTTTGTCTATTAAGGCGTTTGCAGGCTGAGAGAAGGCTTACCCACCCACGCAGAACACAAGAATGCATTGGTTC